CGAGTCTCCTGCCCTGTCCGGGGGCCACTTCTGTGCCGTCTAAAGTCACCACCCTGCTGGCAGGGGCTGCTCTCCCATCCTCGATGCTCCGCCGGGCCCAGCCACATTAAAGGGGGTGGGGGCATGGGGCGATCTAGGATCCGGGAGAGCCCCCCAGGAGGGTAGAGAGCCCCCTCACGGGTCAGTGCTTGTCATCCTCTGCCCAAGTGTGTGTGTGTGAGGCAGCGGTGCTGGCTTCTGGCCTGGGCCCTTCCCTCCCTGGACACAGGGAAGCACACGGGAACTTGGCAACAAAGAAAACAAGGACTTGGCTCCCTAGTTTAGGGGTTCACTGGGACGACTGTAGACTTAAGCCAAAGCCATGCATGCCTTTGTACTGGGCTGTGCTGGCCTGGTGTGTGTTGGATGGGAACCGTCCTCGCAGAGGTGACCAGCCAGGACTGTGAGGTGAAGCCAGCAGAGGAGCAGAACAAGTTGCCCCCACTCCTGCCCCCGAGATGCAGCCAGCGCCTTCACACCAAATGTTCCCTTTGCCAGAAACCAATCCAAACCCAGGACAGGCAACTTCTGCCCCTCCAGATGCCCACTCCATGGCTAGCCCTCCCCAGACCGGACCAGAGCACGCTATACGCTGTGCAGACCCTTCGTCTTTCCTGCTGAAAACTCAGGACATGGGTATTCCTCACAGCTCCACTGAGGGGTAATTTAATCACCATAAAATGCATCCAATGTAAGCACGCATCGCCACGACCATTTAAAAGTAATTTTAAAAACAGGGTCTTGTTATATAGCTCAGACTGGCCTGGAACTCACTATGTAGCCCAGGCTGACCTACAACTTGGGAAACCCCTCCTGCCTCGGCCTCCCAAGTGCTGGGATTTAGAGGCTTGAGCCACCACACTCAGTGTTGTGGCTATTTTTATAAATGCATATCAAGTCATGCCACATCTCCACAATCAATTTGCACAACATTTCCATCTGCAAATATTTCCATCACTCCCCAAGCTCCCCCTGAGCTAATTTGCAAACATTCTCCGCTCTCACCCACATTGGATATTTCTATTTCATATAAATGAAATCATGTCAATGGAATTATGCAGTAGGGCTCTTTGCTTAGCATAGCAGTTTTAAACCAGGGGCGATGTTCCCTTCTAGGAGACGCGTGGCAGTCTAGGGGAAGCATAGTTGGTTGTCACACTGGGAGAGGGGGTGTCTGGCATGGAGTGCATGGAGGGCCGGGACCCCACTGTGTCACATAATATGTAATGGTGGTCCCCCATAACGGAACTGTCTGGTCCAAAACGTCAACAGAAAGTCCCGCATAGTGACACTCGGGAGGCTGAGGCAGGCGGGGCACTGTGAGCTCTAGGCCAGCCTGGATCTACCCAGTGACACCCTGTAACAAACAAAAACAAAGCCAAAGGAAAATGGCCAAGAGAGCCATGGTTCAGACCTCCTAAGTTATCACGCTTCTGAGGTTCACCCATGTTGTAGCATGGGTTAGTATTGCTTTTTCTTAGGGGCTGGGGAGATAGCTCAGGAGCTTAAGTGTCTGCCTGGCAAGCACAAGGTCCTGAGTTCAATCCCCAGTACAAAAAAAAAAAAAAAGCCTTTCCAGAGAGGTAGGTAAAGTATTGCTTTTCTTTCTGTTGTCAGATAACATTCCACTGAATGGAAATAATGACAATTATTCATTCACTTGCTGATGAGCATTTGGTTTCTTTCCAGTTTGTTTTTGTTTTTATTTATGTATCCTGTACAGGATCTCACTATGCAGCTCGAACCAGTGATCCTTCTGCTTTTAGCCTCTCCAGCACTGGGATTACAGGCATTAACAAGCACACCCAGACTCGGTTGCAGGCTCAGTGTGCCTGGGGGCAGGGCCAGCGTGGCACGCAGTACCCGGGATCAATCAAACCCCAGTCCCTGCGCTTGCCTAAGTGGGCGCTTAGTTCACTGAGCTATCTCACTGGCCCTTGGTTCTTTCCACTTTGGGGCCATTAAGATGAATGTTACTAACAATATTCACATAGAACTCTTCTTTGTGTGGGCATATGTTTGCATTTTTCTCCATTCAATTCCTAGGAGAGGAACTGCTGATGAGTATATGTTTAACTTTTCCAGAAACTGCGAAACCATAATTCCAGTGGGCTGGACCATTTTATGTTCCCTCCAGCGATGCAAAAGAGTACCAATTTCTCCACATTCTCAGTGCTTCTATTAATTGGCATATTACATTGTTTTTCAGATGTTTAACCAATCTTGCATTTCTGGAATAAATCTCACTTGGTCATGGTGTATAATCCTTTTTATATGCTGCTGAATTTGGTATGCCAGTATTTTGCATCTATTTTCTTGAGGGATGTTTTTCTGTAGCAGGACTTGGCAAATTTTTTGCGACATGGGGCCAAATAGTAAATATGTTTGGCTTTGTGGCTTTATAGTTGCTTTGCAACTGGGCGAAGGCAGCATAAGTAATATGTAAGGTTCGTGACTGTAATCCTAGCACTCTGGGGAGGCTGAGGCAGGAACTGTAAATTGAGCCTGTGATGGGCAACTGAGTGACTTAGCAAGAGTCTGAAACTTAAAAAGGGAGCTGGGGATACAGCTTAGTGCAAAGGCTCTTGCTTGAAAACCGTGTGTGTGTGTGTGTGTGTGTGTGTGTGTGTGTGTGTGATGTTGTGTTTGGTGGGGGAAATAACTTGGTATTTCTGTGTTCTAAAAAATTTTATTTACAAAAACAGGTGACAACTCAGATATGCTCTTTGAGTTGTAGTTTGCAGATCCCTGGTTCGTAATTTTTTTCCTTTTTTTTTTAGACAAGGTCTCACTATGTCAACCACATTTGCTTTGAAGTCAAGGTGGTGCTGGTGTCTGGTTTTTCCATAATTCCTTCAAGGATCATTCATGTTGTAATACGTATCAAAATTGCTTTCTTTTTTTGAGACAGGGTCTCACTATGTATTTTCTGCTTATCTTGAACTCATTTTGTAGGCCAGGCTGGCCTCAAGCTGGCAGGGATCCTCTTGCCTCAGCCTCCCCAGTGCTGGGATTACAGGGATGAGTTACCATGCCTGGCCAGAATTTCACTCCTTTTTATGGCTGAATTATATTCCATTCCAGGGAATGGATAAACTATGTTTGGCTTGTCCACTCATCCATCAATGGATGGCAGGTGAATTCTGAGGAGGAGATTTGTTAGCTTCTTGTTGCTATGACCAAATACTTGACAAAAGCAACTTGAAGGAAAGGTTGACTTTGGCTCCTAGTTGTGGAGATTTTGGTCCACAGTTGTCTGGTTCCATTACATGAAGTGAGGCAGGACATCCTGGCAGACAGATGTGGAGCACAGCTGCTCGCCCCATGGCAGACAGGAAATAGGAAGAAGGGGAGGAGCAAGAGAAAAGGGGGCTGGGAACAAGATGCAGTCCCCCGGGCCACATCCCCATGACCCACTTCCTTGCACCAGGGCCATCACCCCAGTGAGGCCGTCACATTGTGAGTCCATCACAGATGAAGCTAGAGCCCCTACTGACCCATTCACCTTCCAAACCTGAGAGACCTGGGGGCTGGGTGAGAGCTACACCAGAACAGTATTTGTCCCTCTCCTCACGGCAGCTCTGTGGAAGTGAATCTCCAATGTGACCACAAGTCATCTATCTGTACTGTGCGATTTCATTAATGGCGCCTCCCGTCTCAGATTACAGGCTCCATGACGGAAGCAATGAGGTTTCCTTTATTGATTGCGACCCGCAACCATCCGTAATAGGCACTCAGTAAATACTGTTGAATATATGAATATTTAACGTGTGGAGCAAGGGCACTTCCTTTGCGCTGTTTGAAGCACGAAGACTCAAGGTTGGATGTGTTTTAGGGGGGGAAAGTTGCCACTATTTTCTGAACACCGTAAGGCCCTCACTTCGCAGCCTGTAATCTCCACAAGATTTTTTTTTATTTAAAAAAATTTTTTTTATTAAAAAAAATTTAAATGTGTGTGCGTGTGTGTGTGTTTGTGTGTGTGTGTGTGTGTGTGTGGCCATCTCAGCCCACCAGGGGGCAGGGATGGCTGGCATGTGGTGCTGGGGGATTGAATCGCGGTCCCTGTGCTTTGCAAAGCCTATTCTAAGTAGGTGCTCTAGACCACTGAGCCATCTCACCAGCCCTGAAACTCTTTGTTTTAATAGACAATGCGATCACATTTTAAGGACAGAAATGGATTTTTTTTTTTTTTTTTTTTTTTTTTTTTTTTTTGAGACAGAACCTCATTAAGTAGCTCAGGCAAAGCCTGAAGTCACTGTGTAGTCCAGGTTGGCCCAGAACTCATGGGCGGTCCTCTGCCTCATATGCCCGAGTGCTGGGATTACAGGTGTGTGCCACCACGTGCGGCTAAATTCTAAAATTACTGCAAAAGACAAAATTACATAATCAAAATAAGCGCCCACTCAAGTGAGATGCTTTCTGTTGCGTGTTCACCTTGGGCAGGAAGCAGGAGGGCTACTTAGAAACGACCCTTTCGCCTTCAAGTATCTGCATTTGATTTCAAATAAATTAATAGTGTCTCTGCATGACTGGTATCCCTGCCATTTATTTACTTATTTATTTATTTACTGCGATGTTGGCGGTTGAATCCAGGGCCTTTTACACTGAGCTACATCCTTTCTCTTCCTCCTTTTTTCTTTTTTAACAGGATTGGTAAAGGGCCCAGTCTGGGCTCAAACTTTCCATCCTCCTGCCTCAGACTCCTGGAGTGCTACAGCGCCAGGCTCATCCACGTTTTAGGGAAGGGATGGGATGGACATGCGGAGGTAGCGGAATAGGGGTAAGGACCCCTAAAGAGGACGCCTTGTGGAGTGGGCGGTGCACACTGAGACGGGCTTGGGAGCAAGATCCTAAACTAGGATGGGATGCGAGGGGCTAGCGAGTTTGCCGAGCCAAGGAAGCGTGGGCTACACCTCAATCCACATTTCCCTCACCTGCAACCCTTTCCACCTGTTACTCACCTGCTCTGCAAGCTCCAGTAGAGCTCTTCCGAGGTGGTTTCTTGGTCTCTGCGTTGCTAGGTTACCCGCCAATCTCAGAAGGCGGGACTCGGAGTCTGACTGACTTTCGTTTTCACCATTGAGCCTCTTATTTTGTTCTGTTAAATCCACCTCCCGACTTCTGACCAATCAGAAGCACTGTCCCTCTGGCGTTCTTCCAATTGGAAGACCCGAGACTCTGCCTGGGTTGGACGGACCGAGTAAAGCGGGGGGGGGGGAATGGGAGGAGGGAAGAGGTGGAGTTTCTTGGTCCCGCCCCCTTTTGAGGAGGCGGGCAATGAGTCCTGCAATCCGCAATGGAAGAGAATTGGGGAAGGACGTAAGGATTAACCAACTAGACTTCAGCATAGCAACCCAGGCATCCAATGGACCGCTGTGAAGAGGAAGTGGGGCGGGGCCGGCGGGTGGAGGGGACGGTAGGCGGTGGAAGCGGTAGCTGGCGCAGCTGCCGTGGTGGCTGCGACTGAAGTGTCGGCGACTGTAGTGGCTGCAACAGCTCCGGACTCGGGGCTTTGGCAGCGGCGCCAGCGGGCTGTGCTGTGGTGTGCGGACCCCGGTGCGCGGTCTGGGTTCCGGGGGCGGCGCGTGTAAGAATCCGAAGGGTGCGAGGGCTTGGTGCGAGGGAGAGGGCAGGGGTCAGGGGTTAGGGGGCGCGGAGAAAGGTCGCGGTTGGGCACCCGGGTGCGGGAGGCAGGCGGGGTGGACTCATAGGGCTCTCGAGAAAGTCTCTGCGCCCCTTTATCTCCTTCAGACTGTGCTGGGGATGTGCACGCCTTTTCCCGCCCCTGGCTTCTTGGGCGACCCCCACGTGGGGCCCCGCTGAGGACGCGGAGCGCGTGCAGCGGGGGTGGCACTTCTGCTTCGGTCCCCTTTTCCGGCCTTGTCACCTCATCAACGTCCTCAGCTGGCCCTGCAGGACACTCTGCCCGGGTCAGGCTGTCCCAGCGGACTGCGAGGTGGCAGCCAGCGCTCTGTCCCCGGGACCTTTCTCCCGGGGTGACCTTCGGGGTCCTCCAAGGGAGATAGATGTAAAGCTGACAGAGGAGAACAGGGCGAGCACTCAGGAGCCCGGAGTTCTAGCTCTGCGCCTGCGCTGTGCGACCTTGGGCAAGTCCCTTCCCCTCTCTGGACCTGATCTTTCTTTCTGTGAGATGATGGGTTTGGATTCAAATTGGAGACCTGGTTCAGGGAGTAGTTAGAGGGCAGTGGTCAGCCAGGGAGGGTCCTTGAATTCGGCCTCCCTAGGTTGAAGCCTGGCCTCTGTGCTACTTCCTTGCCTTTTACTTAGACAATTTAACTGCTCCAAGCCTCAGTTTCCTCCTCTGTAAGGTGAGGGACATTAACTAAGATAGGATTCAACGGGAGCAGTGGTCTTGGTGTTGGGAGCCACATTGCTTGTGTGCATGGGTCTCTCCTGTGTATTGTCGGATGCTTTTCCTGGCCTCTGCTCACTAGCAGTCACCCTCTAACTGTGACCATCCAAATAACTTCTGACAGTAAGGTCCCTTGGGGGGCAGAATCGCCACACCAAGGGTCTCTCAGTTCAGACACTGCCTGCCAGCAGTCAATCTTCCGCGACCACCAGCTATTATGGTGCTAGTGATGAAATTTAGAAACCTCCTGTGCGTTGAGGGCATTGGTTGGTGAAGTCTCCAGGCTTCAAAAGAAATCTGAGGGGATCAGTGTCAAAGCTGAGTGAGTGGTACAAGATCACCGGCACAGCCTCTCTTCTTGTGGGTATGTTTGAAAATGTCTGTGGTAAAAAGTTAAGCCCTGGACTGGGGAGGTAGCCCTGTGTTTAGTTGTGTTTGAGGCCTTGAGTTCCATCCCCAGCACAGAAAAAATATAAAAAGTTAAGCTGAAAAGCAAAGCCAAAAAAATATTAGGACAGCTGCATGGTAGCATCTCATCTGGGATTTCCTGTCCTGCAGTTCCCCCTTCCCCCATCGAAAAGCAAAAGAAATCCTCAGATCTGGAGGAAACTTAAAAAACTTCTCTCACGGAGTTTGATGGGCCGAATCACTATGGGCTTAGCAGCAAGCAGTGCGGTGTTTAATTTCTGGTGCCTTATTTTTAAAAAATATGTACCATTCCCTATCGGCGTACAGAGATGTGCCCGGAGTTACCTGATGAGCCAGAGAAGAAGTAAATTGCCCTGGTGTCCTGACTCTTCTAGTCATGTTGGAGGCAAAGTTGGTAGAGCACAAGAGCCCGAAGCTCAAGGAAGGAACCTGCTCCTCCTGTCAAGTTCAGAGGTCTGCAGGGAGATCTGCTGAGTCCCGTCGTTTCTTTTGGCCCTCCTAGGCGGAAACAGGAATGTATAAATAGAAGCTAATGGGCTAGTTCCGAGTGTTTTAAATTTGGAGTTACAGATGAACACTTGGGCATCATTTAAA